ACACACACACACACACACACACACACACACACACACACATACACACATACACACACACACACACACACACACACACACACACACACACATACACACACACATACACACACACACACATACACACACACACACACACACACACACACACACATATACACACACACACACACATACACACACACACACATACACACACACACACACACACACACACACACACACACACACATACACACACATACACACACACACACACACACACACACACACACACACACACACACACACACACACACACACACACACACACACACACACACACACACACACACACACACACACATACACACACACACACATACACACATATATATGTAGCGGCAATGAGATGTTTTATACATCATTATGCACCTTTACAACTTAAACTTATCACTGATACGTCAGTTTAGTGAAGAAACTGTCATCTGACACTCCAGGAATATCAGCTGGTGTGGGTCAAGACTTTCTTCTGAAAGACTTGAAAGGTTAACCAAACCACTCACCAGAAAGTGAAGGGACGACGACGTTTCGGTCCGTCCTGGACCATTCTCACAATCGACTTGAGAATGGTCCAGAACGGACCGTAACGTCATCGTCCCTTCACTTTCTAGTGTGTGGTTTGGTCAACGTATTTTAATATTGTGACTCCTCGTCTGCACTTGACAGGTTAAGTTGACCAAGGTTACAGTGTATTTTTCCAAGACACTAGAAGCTCATATGGTGAAAGTAAGTTACCGTTTAAAATATATTAAATGGCCAATATGGTCTCCTGGTTAGGCATTTAAAAGCTAGAGTTGTTAAGGACAAGACACTTATTAGACCAACTAATGTGTAACTGTCATTATTATATGTATCTTGCGAAATATGTGGGGGGAGCTATTAGTTATATATATACTAAGAATGATACAAATGTCCTTACATGGTTATACTTAAACAAGTAGTTTAAGTATAAGTTTTTTAAGTATTAGTTTTTAAGTTGTTTTAGAGTGCATTACGAAGTGGATATTTAGTATTGAGAGGTCAGTTAACTTCCCCATGACATGTCTTACATTAATCTACACTCTAAGGTGACTTCATTTTTAAACATTAGTTTCTTGAAGGTTACAGTTTTCTGAAGTCAGGTTTTTATAAGTGAGGTCTTAGAGGGCAAAATGTTAAAAGGAAAATGTTAAATGTTTATGTTTCAAAGTTAAGGAATATATATACATTAGTGTCTATAAGACAATGCATGTTTTTTAAGCATGAAATTAGCACTTTAAGACCGTACTGGTTTCTTTAGGCAGGGCCAAGGTTGTGAAAAATGATGATTCATAAAGACCAGGCTCTTTCTTAACAACTAGTTCCTATCTAAAGACCAATCTAGTTCATAACAATCGATTACTTTCTAAAGACTAGATTAGTTCTAATCATTTACCTTGTTAGGACCAAGCTGCTTTCGAAACGACAAGCTGGGAGCAAGTAGGTGAATGGACCAATCAGAACTTTTAATCAGGTTTCACAGTAAAATGACTTGTAGAGGGAGCAGGAAACTAGGTGACATGGGAGAGTCAGTCTGGATGACCACAGCCATAAAGAGGAAGGAAGGGACTAAGACAAGGTCTTTTTTCCTGCAGCAGTCTTTGTCGGGTGGTTTCCTGAGCCCCTGAGTGACGTACTCGTCCAGGGCTTGACCTTTGACCCATATATAGATTGTACCTTCCGACCTCTCTCCTGCTCTCTGATCTTGTGAACTCTTTTTCTCATTTTTCCTTTTTGACTGTCTGGCTTTTGCTCTTCCTCTCATCCTGCCAGCTTCTCGCTCTACCTCCGTCCTTCTCTCTATACATCTCTCTCTTCCCCCATTTATTCCTCCTCGCCACTCTTCCCCTTCTGTCCTAAATATCTCACTTTATTTCTCTATCTCTATACCTCTCTCAGTTCTGTCCGTCCGTTTCTCTTTCCCATCTTCTTCTTCATTATCTCCCTGATCTCTCCATCTCTTCCTATCTCTCCCCCTTCCTACCTCTCTCCCCCTTCCTACATCTCTTCCCCTTCCTTCCTCTCTGTCCCCCGTCCTCCCTACCACATTACTCACAGCCATTTATCCTTCCACCCCAATTCTTTTCTGGGGTCCACCCTTCGTCTGCTGCCTCTCTCACCTACTGTCGGCTTCCGCGTCACTCCCCTTCACTCACCGCGGCGGAGAGGCATTGTATCTTCCGTTTACTGGTTTGCGAAGTCGGTATTCCGTCCCGTCCTCGCTAATAGTGCATCGTATTTTGACCTATAAATTCCCTGTCCCTAAGGCCAAAAACTGGCGTACTGCGGCACGCAAGATTGACGCGATGTCCCGTTTTCTGTTGGTGGGTCTTCGGTTAAGGTTAGATTCGGGGAGTTTCGTGCATTAGTTTCATTAGGGTCCAGAAGAGGGACCCACCGGGTGGTGTGGGGGCCATTGGGACCACGTGGGGAGGGTGTCCTCATCTGCTGCGAGGGACCGTGAATGGTGGTTACGGGCTATTCATGCCCGTGCCACCTCTTGGGTGGGCAGATCTTCGTGAATCATTGAGGGATGGTGGCTAGGCAGAGAGGGAGAGGAGGGAGGAGAGGGAGGGTGGGAGAGAGCAAGGACGGTGGTGAGAAAAGAAGGGACTAATGAGTAGGGAGGAAGTTGATAAAGAAGATGACTGGTGGAAGTGGAAGAATATCACATGAAAGTAAGTGAACCATATGTGAGGTGAGAAGAAAAGTTAGAAAAGGTTAGGAAACAGAAATTACCCACCAAGCACACAGCGAAACTACGACGTTGGTACAACGTTCCAACAAGTTTTAACACCTCCTAACCAGTTATAACAACCAATATAGCAAGTTGTAACAACGTTCTAATACGTCATAAACACGTTAAGCCAAGATGTAACAACTTTATTACAAGTTGTAACAAGCGGAAAATAGACACATTTTCGGTTTGTGTTTCCAGGGAATTCGAGGCAGTAGGAAAGAGGCCAGAGGAGAGTACGGAATGAACGAGAAGAATAAGAGAAGGAAGAAGGAGAGAGACATTACTCTAACTTAAACTAATCATCCACTCCATCAACGAGTGTTATTGGTGCAGAACTGGAGCTCTGCGGCTCGCTTAAGAAAACAATGAATACATCGCTAACTGAAGTAAGTGAAATGTGGAGTGTCGCCACCGTAGACGTATTATCAAAGAAAGGTAAACCTCTGTATGAACTATATGTGTAACAGATCTCTCACCCTGTCCATGGAGGACAGAAGAAAATGTATATATGCTGGTTAGCATTCTAAATGTCTGGCCACGCCTGTGGTAGATAATAATAAAAACTGTGTATGACTAACCATCCTACTGTGATGGGGATTTTTAGCATCACTTAGCTAGTTTTTGCCACAATATGTATTCCCCTACATATTGTCTAGGGTCGCTGCACAAATGCACATGTACATAAATGTGTTAGTCAAAAAATACCATGAGGGTAATTCTTAGTGTCCCAAGATGCACAAGAATCATCAACATGAGAGAAGAAGTGAAGTGACACACACCCTTCACTATATGACACACCCTTCACTATATGACACACTCTTTACTATGTGACACACCCTTCACTATATGACACACCCTTCACTATATGACACACCCTTCACTATGTGACACACCCTTCACTATATGACACACCCTTCACTATATGACACACTCTTTACTATATGACACACCCTTCACTATATGACACACCCTTCACTATGTGACACACCCTTCACTACGTAAAGTAGAGCGTTGTGTATATCTCAGGATAATGGGGTATACAGAAGGATGGCGGGTCTATCTTGTCTATCTTGTAGTAGCAGCCAGCTGGGCTGTGGGTGCTACTACACTACCAGCTGGGTCATGGGCGGGGCACCACCTGAGCTGCACAGGACACTGTACAATTAGTGAGGGAAGGGGAGTATAGAGCCCATCATACAGCACGGTAAGTAATGAACGGCTAACTGCAGCCCGGGTGAGATGGTCTCGGAGTCTATACACCCTGAACTGTGAAGATTTAAGTATGTCTGAGATTGAGATTTAAGTATCTCTGATATTGAGATTTAAGTATCTCTGATACTTAAATGAACAACACATTAAATACAAGCGTGTGATATAAACATTAGATCTATCATGATCTTCCATTTCCACGTACAAATTAGACACATATATAGATTCTGAATAAATTTGGTATATTAAATCAAATATCTAATTCACATCACAATACATAGTTTTATTGAATCATTTATGTAAGTAATTCCTTTTGATTTATTTCACATACATACACCAAGGCTGGCTTTAACAATAAGCTTTTGTAAGCATCACATATTATCTGTTTTTGAGATATATTCAAGCGCATTAGGGACGTGAGTGTTAATAATTCCTGCATTTGACACTCAAATTGTCAGCCCATGCTGCTAAAATGATAGCATTAGAGCATAGACTTGCAAGTCTATGCTCTAATGGGTATAACAGCACACAGTGGTACGCATGGTCACGCGTACCACTGTGTGCTGTTATACCCTCCAAAAGGTTCATAGTTGAACAAATCCACAAGGGCCGTGATGAGGGTTCGAACCAGCGTCGTTCACAGCTGTTTTGACTTAGTCCAAATGACATTCTAATAAACCGGAAGCATAACTAAAGCAACAAACCAAATCTGTCCAGGCAATCGTAGGCCTATTATAATATATATATATATAGATATATATATATACCTTTTAGTAAGTCCAGGAATGTTTATGTTTGTTTTTTTTTGTTCTCGAACGTGATACAATTAATAGTAATAGTATGAACTTATTTGGGGCTGCAACACCACATATTGGTACTTTCAATCAAATATTTGCTGTAAATATATATATATATATATATATATATATATATATATATATATATATATATATATATATATATATATATATATATATATATATATATATATAATGGCTGGAGCCCTTTTGACCTCGCCAGATCATTGTCAAAGATTAACTAACATTGACACTGAAGAGAATTGAATTAAATTGAATTATCAGGAAAAGCGCCAAGCCATTACGTCTATATAGCACTGGGAAAGGGCCAGGATAAGGATTTGGGATGGGACGGGGGGAAGGAATAGTGCCCAGAAGTTCACTGGAACTTTGTAAATAAAATCATGTGTCTTCTGTGCCTATGTTAGTCAAGCTAACAACTACCCGGGGTGGTCGAAAGGACTCCAACCATTATTTCTGATTTCATATGCGGTTATTGCGTATTTAATAGATCGGCGATTACTTGACCGAGACCTGGTAATGTGGGTAGAGTAACTTTTGGGCCAGCCTTACAGATCATTGTCTTGTTTACTGTACAGGTAACGATGTGCTCCATCCTCCAGCGATGTCACTATGGCGGAGTGTTCGGGCCATCTGGCCATCTGTTCTCAAGTAACACGACATTACACGTCTGCCGCAACACTTACAGGTACGTACACTTAGGGGTTATGTACACTTACAGTTATGTACACTTAGGGTATGTACACTTATGGGTATGCACACTTCTGGTACGGATATCTTGCACCAGCAGGTCTTCAAGTGTATGTCTCCACACTGAGCCTCAGACAAGCAGGTGGTGTTGCAGTACCACCACAATCTTCTTGAGATGATTTCGGGGCTTTTAGTGTCCCCGCGGCCCGGTCCTCGACCAGGCCTCCACCCCCAGGAAGCAGCCCGTGACAGTTGACTAACACCCAGGTACCTATTTTACTGCCAGGTAACAGGGGCATAGGATGAAAGAAACTCTGCCCATTGTTTCTCGCCTCGAACGGTGGTGTCACAAGACACCACCGTTCCCATGCTGACACGAGGGTGTACGGGTTCACTACATGGTGTGGACCAACATAAGGGAGGTGGAAGGTGTAGCTACACCACATGATCCCACACCCTCCATAGTCCCTTCAGATCTCCATCGTCAAACCAAGATTATCCCTTGTCCAAGATAGGACAGGCGCCGCGGCTTCTATAATTCTATTGCCTCAGGATCCTTGTAGGTGATGCCCGCCCGGATGTTTCTGTAGAATCTCATCACTCCCCACAGCGCCAGGATCTGTGGGACGCCAGACATTAGTGATAGGAGACACTCCAGGGGACACAAGAGTGAAGGAATGTCTGCAGCAGGAGGTGAGACAGTGGTGTAGGGAGAGACTGTAGGCATTAGGGAGGAGTAGACGATCTCTCACAACACTATATATACAGGAATGGTAGCAATAATCTCCAGGAATAGGGAATATTCCCTATTACTAGGGAATAGGCAGGCAGAGAGAGAGATTTTTCAGATGAAATGACATGCATGTTTATGAGTGTGAATATATATATATATAAATATATATATATATATATATATATATATATATATATATATATATATATATATATATATATATATATATATATATATATATATATATATATTCAGAATTTATGGTGTTAAATATAGAGGGAAATAATCTGCAAATTAATAAGAGGTAAAATTGCTATTTACGTTTGTGAAGTTTAATACTGAATACATAATTGACTGAGCAGAAAATTCCATTACTGAACGGTTGTTGCGAATGATTAAAAATAATAATAATGGCTAGCGTATGTACGTGATTTTTGAGATTAATTATTCCATAATAAAGGGGAAATTTTCAATGATTAAATGTTATCAATGTTATCAAATGTATATTTCATATACTTACATTTAAAAACAGTCTAGTGACAAAGAACGCCATTTCTGCTTTGCATATGGTGTCGAACCTCTGAAATATTAGAGATTATTATGATGGTAATCATACGAGAGAGAGAGAGAAGGGAAGGGAACTGTCAGGGGGAAAGTACTAAGCCATTACCCTGGAAACACAAACCCAAACTGTCTCTATTTTCCGTTTGTTACAACTTGTAATAAAGTTGTTACATCTTGGCTTAACGTGTTTATGACGTATTAGAACGTTGTTACAACTTGCTATATTGGTTGTTATAACTGGTTAGGTGGTGTTAAAACTTGTTCGAACGTTGTACCAACGTCGTAGTTTCGGTATGTGTTTGGCGGGTTAGGACTATATAGCACTGGGAAGGGGGTCAGGAATAGGATTTGGGATGGGACGGAGGGGGAAAGGAATGGTGGACAACCATTTGGACGGTCGGGGATTGAACGTCGACCTTCATGAAGCGAGACCGTTGCTCTACCGTCCAGCCCAAAAGAGAGAGCGAGAGAGAAAAGGGGAGAGAAAGAGAGGAGGGGGGGGGGGGGGTAGAGAAAGAGGGAGAATTAATGTGTCCTTTCTAGTTTAGTGACATTTACAAATGTGTCTAAGCATATGTATATGAACACTAGTACCATACATGTATGGAACTCAAGTACAAAAAATATAACAGATGCCCGAATTTGCTCCCATAATTTTACAGGACATGTAGTATATCACTGACGTCAAGACATAATGTCATATATGTAGGAAACAGTCCTGTCAAATTAATATAAGACATAATGCCATATATATATATATATATATATATATATATATATATATATATATATATATATATATATATATATATATATATATATATATATATATATATATTGGACATTGCGCCGTACTTTAATGTCAAGATGAAATAATTACTCATCTAAGTGTGCTTGCGGGGGTTGAGCTCTGGCTCTTTGGTCCCGCCTGTGTGTATATAACGGAGACATTGTGGTAGTGGGCTCACCTTGTTGATGTGGTCTCTGAGGACGTTGGAGTACATGCAGCAGACGGCCTCCAGGGCCATGAAGGTGATGTTGGCCACCACCCACGGCGTCACTAAGCCACACCGCTCCTGCTGGCCCACAGTCACTCTCAGTACTGGTCTCTATCACCCTTAACTGCTTGATACATCACCATTCAGCCCTCACCTCTCGCCACTCTTACCTGTACGCATCACCATTTATCTAAAACTTCCTCTCAGTCTCCATCACGGGTTATTCATGCCCGTGCCAGCACTTGGGTGGCTTAATCTTCATCAATCATTCTACAAATAAGGAATACAATTCCAAATGAATTGTATTCGAAGAATACGAATTCATTTGGAATTCGTTGCATAGTGAGCTATATGGAATTCGTTTCTTTATATGAAGAAACGAATTATGGGAGAATTTTGGAGAACTGCAGATTATATATATAAGTGGAGCTTGAGGTATGGGCACCTTGCTCTGGGAGACTGATGGCAGGAATTTTCGATTACAGTTTTTAATGAAAGACGGCCCATTACGGGAGACAGAGTGGAGGCATAAATTGAATGCATAAATTGAAAGGGAGAGTTTGAACAAATATGGCTGTGGGTGTACGGTGCTTAGGGCCATATTCCCCGAGACCTGCCTCCTATCCCTGAGATTTTGTGAGAGCTGATGTGGTAGAAATGATGTTTTCCTAAAGCTGTAGAAATAATATTTTGAGCCTGTACCCACGGGCACACACACACACACACACACACACACACACACACACACACACACACACACACACACACACACACACACACACACACACACACACACACACACACACACACACACACACACACACACACACACACACACACACACACACACACACACACACACACACACACACACATATATATATAGCTCCCCATGCAAGTTACTTTCAATTAGCAACTATGTTATACACTACATTATATTTATCTGCTAACAGACACAGCTACTGCTAGCTTTATCATATTGTTTCCACCAATATTGGCACTTGTACTAACTTCTACTACAGTTGCATGTACTGTAGCTAACTTTGCAAGTAATAGTACTGCTACTACTACTCTTACTACTACTATTCATACTACCACTACTCTACTACTATCACTTTCACTAAGTCTACTCATATATATCTGTTTTCCTACGAATACTGTTATTATTTTAAGTGAACAAATCTACAAGGGCCGTGACGCGAAGAGAAATTATTTTATTTCTGTTCCCTCCTGCTACTTCTCTTTTATATTTCTACTATGACATCTACTTCTACTTCTACTTCTACTACCTACGCAGTCACTGACCTTGCATATACCTGCGACGAGTAGGCTGCTGAGGACAATGAGGGTAATGTGTGTACACACCGTCGACATGTAGGAGATCTGCACACCTGTAGCACATGTTTATATTAGTGATCTACACACACCTGTAGCACATGTTTATGTTAGTGATCTGCACACACCTGTAGCACATGTTTATGTTAGTGATCTGCACACCTGTAGCACATGTTTATGTTAGTGATCTACACACACCTGTAGCACATGTTTATATTAGTGATCTACACACCTGTAGCACATATTTATGTTAGTGATCTGCACACCTGTAGCACATGTTTATATTAGTGATCTACACACACCTGTAGCACATGTTTATATTAGTGATCTACACACACCTGTAGCACATGTTTATATTAGTGATCTACACACACCTGTAGCACATGTTTATGTTAGTGATTTACACACCTGTAGCACATGTTTATGTTAGTGATCTACACACCTGTAGCACATATTTATGTTAGTGATCTACACACACCTGTAGCACATGTTTATGTTAGTGATCTGCACACCTGTAGCACATGTTTATATTAGTGATCTACACACACCTGTAGCACATGTTTATATTAGTGATCTACACACCTGTAGCACATATTTATGTTAGTGATCTACACACCTGTAGCACATGTTTATGTTAGTGATCTACACACCTGTAGCACATGTTTATGTTAGTGATCTGCACACCTGTAGCACATGTTTATATTAGTGATCTACACACACCTGTAGCACATGTTTATATTAGTGATCTACACACACCTGTAGCACATGTTTATATTAGTGATCTACACACCTGTAGCACATATTTATGTTAGTGATCTACACACACCTGTAGCACATGTTTATGTTAGTGATCTACACACCTGTAGCACATATCTATGTTAGTGATCTACACACACCTGTAGCACATGTTTATATTAGTGATCTACACACCTGGAGCACATGTTTATGTTAGTGATCTACACACCTGTAGCACATATTTATGTTAGTGATCTACACACACCTGTAGCACATGTTTATGTTAGTGATCTACACACCTGTAGCACATGTTTATATTAGTGATCTACACACCTGTAGCACATATTTATGTTAGTGATCTACACACACCTGTAGCACATGTTTATATTAGTGATCTACACACACCTGTAGCACATGTTTATATTAGTGATCTACACACACCTGTAGCACATGTTTATGTTAGTGATTTACACACCTGTAGCACATGTTTATGTTAGTGATCTACACACACCTGTAGCACATGTTTATGTTAGTGATCTACACACCTGTAGCACATGTTTATATTAGTGATCTACACACCTGGAGCACATGTTTATGTTAGTGATCTACACACCTGTAGCACATATTTATGTTAGTGATCTACACACACCTGTAGCACATGTTTATGTTAGTGATCTACACACACCTGTAGCACATGTTTATGTTAGTGATTTACACACCTGTAGCACATGTTTATGTTAGTGATCTATACACCTGTACTATCACATGATATCAATGACTGTAGTGACTGATATATAATGTAAATAGCTACAGTGACTGATATCATGTTTAATATGATATCATTTCCAAATATCATGATATTTGGAAATGTTTAAGCCAGAGTCAGGCTGGACAAACCTGGTGTTCCTGATTGATTCGTTCATCTTTCACATATATTTAACCAATAATAATTTTGATAAGACTGATCGCCTGATAATACTACTGGTTTCTGAAATTTCTCTGAAACTCTGTAACTGTTTTTTTCTTATCAATAAGGTTTTAGAATTCATGATAAACTTGCCGTGAAGAGAAGCCTTCAGTGAGGGGAGATGAAGTGAGAGAAGCTCTCAGTGAGGGGAGATTTTGGGGAGAGAAGCCTTCAGTGAGGGGAGATTTTGGGGAGAGAAGCCTTCAGTGAGGGGAGATTTTGGGGAGAGAAGCTCTCAGTGAGGGAAGATTTTGGGGAGAGAAGCTCTCAGTGAGGGAAGATTTTGGGGAGAGAAGCTCTCAGTGAGGGAAGATTTTGGGAGAGAAGCCTTCAGTGAGGGGAGATTTTGGGGAGAGAAGCCTTCAGTGAGGGGAGATTTTGGGGAGAGAAGCTCTCAGTGAGGGAAGATTTTGGGGAGAGAAGCCTTCAGTGAGGGGAGATTTTGGGGAGAGAAGCCTTCAGTGAGGGGAGATTTTGGGGAGAGAAGCCTTCAGTGAGGGGAGATTTTGGGGAGAGAAGCCTTCAGTGAGGGGAGATTTTGGGGAGAGAAGCTCTCAGTGAGGGTAGATTTTGGTCAGAGAAGCCTTCAGTGAGGGGAGATTTTGGGGAGAGAAGCCTTCAGTGAGGGGAGATTTTGGGGAGAGAAGCCTTCAGTGAGGGGAGATTTTGGGGAGAGAAGCTCTCAGTGAGGGGAGATGAAGTGAGAGAGAAGCCCTCAGTGAGAGAAGATGAAGTGAGAGAGAAGCCCTCAGTGAGAGAAGATGAAGTGAGAGAGAAGCCCTCAATTGAAGAATGAAGCAGAGTAAAAGGCAGACATGAGAGTGTGTGTGTGTGACCATAAGCCGGAGTATCAACAAGACTCACCATAATAGACCTCCTGGAGATGGTGAGGGTGCCTGCTGTTGACCACCAGCCTCCAACTGTACACCACCATCACCATCACAGATGCGCACTGCACGTTCACCATCACCATGTACAGTGACACCATACACATGAAGAAATTAGTAGCAGTTGGCGGTAACAGTGATAATTGGAATGGAATTGTTAAAAATATGGGTATTATAGTTTGTTATAGAGAAAGTGTTATTTGTTCTTGGGGTGAAGTTAGTAGGGAAGGGGGTAGTGTGGTTGGTTCACCAGTGGGCGTAGTGTGGGTGGTTCACTAGTGGGCGTAGTGTGGTTGGTTCACTAGTGGGCGTAGTGTGGGTGGTTCACTAGTGGGCGTAGTGTGGGTGGTTCACCAGTGGGCGTAGTGTGGGTGGTTCACTAGTGGGCATAGTGTGGGTGGTTCACCAGTGGGCGTAGTGTGGGTGGTTCACTAGTGGACGTAGTGTGGGTGGTTCACCAGTGGGCGTAGTGTGGGTGGTTCACTAGTGGGCGTAGTATCGTTATTCCACCACACATTGAACCTCTCCCTAACAGCACTTTGGTAATAGATCAATAACACTACTCAGCAAATATTTAATCACGATGCCACAACTGAACCAAGAACGATAAACTCTCTCACGCATAATTCCCCGTTAATGTGGGATAAAGCATTGGATTCTCTTCACACAGAAAGACCCGTACGACCACTGGGGTGTTCCCAGGGTAAAGAGAAGCGAGGTCGGGCGTCACACATGCACTCAAGACCCTCCTTAAGGCTTTAAGATACATAAGAGGAAGTACCGCGAGAATTTCAAAGTGACTCTCAGGCTGGGATCAATAGGTTTGGGGCCAGGGGCCAGATTCACGAAGCAGTTACGCATGTACTTACGAACGTGTACATCTTTCCTCAATCTTTGACGGCTTTGGTTACATTTATTAAACAGTTTACAAGCATGAAAACTTGCCAATCAACTGTTGTTATTGTTATAAACAGCCTCCTGGTGCTTCGGAGCTCATTAACTGTTTAATAATTGTAAACAAAGCCGCCAAAAATTGAGAAAAGATGTACAGGTTCGTAAGTGCTTGCGTAACCGCTTCGTGAATCTGGCCCCAGGTCTATGGTAGCATGTGTACTTAGTGAAGCCAGTCGTACTGTGGTGTATTTGTTCCGTAGTCCTTGCTAGCCAGGACCTGAGACAATATAGCAATAAAAGCTGCAGTCGCCTTTCTGTATATTCAAGGACAAACCTTCACAAGCTTATTGTTCAACTTACTGCCTCCCAACGACTTGGGCTGGGCGGTAGGGCGATGGTCTCGCTTCCATGCTGGTTGGCGTTCAATCCCCGACCGTCCAAGTGGTTTGGTATCATTCCTTTCCACCCGTCCCATCCCGAATCCTTATCCTGATCCCTTCCAAGTGTTGTATAGTCGTAATGGCTTGCTGCTTTATCCTGTTCCGTTCTCTCTCTCTCTCTCTCTCTGTTCTCTGTCTCTCTGTCTCTCTCTCTCCTCTCTCTCTCTCTCTCTCTCTCTCTCTCTTCTCTCTCTCTCTCTCTCTCTCTCTCTCTCTATCCTATCTCTCTCTCTCTCTCTCTCTGTCTCTGTCTCTCTGTCTCTCTCTCTCTCTGTCTCTCTCT